AGGAGATTATTTACATGCAAAATACAAATATACATTGGAAAGGACAAGATTATAAAATATAAATGTGAATTTCTAACATTTTCTTCCTGTACATCCCTACTTCATCTTAGGCTCTCTTCCTACTTTTTAAAAAGATTGGTGTCCTGGGGGTGCCTGGGTGGTTCTGTCAGTTGAGCATCTGACTCCCAGTTTCAGCTCAGGTCATGACTTTGGGGTCATGAGATCAATGCCTGCATCAGGCTCTGGGCTCAGCATGGAGTCCGCTTTCCCTCTCCCTCCTCCAGGCTTGTGCTTGCTCTCTCTGAAATGAATGGATGGATGAATGAATAAATAAATAAATAAAATATTTTTAAAAATAAAATAAAGATTGGTGTCCTGGCAGAGAAGGATGATGCCTAAGACCTTCTTCTTCTCTGACTGGGTGGCCAGCTCCTTCTGCAGGGGACCCGTCACCATATGACTTTGCCCCTACTACATTTTATGTTCTGTCATTGTCTGCTTCTTTCATCTGGGAGAGCCTGCCTGTTTCTTTCTCTGTCTTTCTCTCTGTCCCTGCCCATTCACCCACATATGTTGGGGATCATTTAACCTCTCACACTGGAATATGCTGGCACTCACTCAATTGCTATTAAAGGACTGAAATATCTTTGCACTTTTTGGTTTGTCTAATTTTGTTGTGTTCTTTGGTGTGTGGGGATGGTTTCTCCATAACTTTTCAGAAGTTGGGTAACAAATCTGAGTCAACATCATGTTAAAAAAGAGGTTGTTCATGACTTTTGCCTCGCAATGGAAGTAATTTTTTTCTCTCCAGTCATCATAGGTGGATAAGGTCAATAAAACCAACTCTTTAGAAAAATGCAGGTGGATGTTGCAGTGGGAAATTGCTCTAAGAAACTGCTTTCAGTTTCTGTACTCCCCGCTTCAGACCAGCACCAGGGCAGCGACCACACAGGGAGAAGCCTGCTTTATTCTTTCTCCTCTGAGACCAGGGTTTAGAGTCTTAGCCTTCAAATTGGAAATGCGGTCCGTCCTTTGACCCGGCAATCCCACTTCTAGGACTTTATCCTACAGAAACACCTTCATGAAATTTCAGAGAGGAGGTTATCCCTTGTGACACTGTTTGCGATAACAAAAGATTGGAAATAATCCAAGTGTCTAGCAATGGGGCTATGAATGCAGCTCTACACAAAAGAATGAGGGCCATCTCTCCGTGTCGACCTGGAGGGAACGCCAGGCCATATTAAGTGGCAAGGTACAAAGAGTACATGTAACCTGCTTTCTCAGGTGTTAGAAAGTGGACGAAATAATGGCATGCATTTCTATTTGCTTCTATTTGTACGATGTATCCCTAGGAGGATTAACAAGAAGCTACTACAAAGAGTTGTCCAAGGTGGGGGAAACCGACTGCAGCACTGCAGCGCTTTGGGGCAGAGGAGGAAGACTTCGTGGGGTGTACTTTTCATTCATAAATGAGGCAAAGGCATTAACTATTTACAAAACAAAAAAGTTGTTTGGGGGAGAAAGTGTCAGAGAGAAAAGTAGTTCTACAGACTTATTAAAAAAAAAAAAAACCCAGATAGATATTTCACACAATTGGAAGGTTTCCAAAGTTCCTTCAAATATCACATTTGGAAATTAACAAGAAAACTGGGACTGTCTTTCAATGATCTGCCCAGTGGGGCACTGGGCTCCCTCCCTGGGTTTATCATAAGCTTCCTTTAGAAAATTAAACACATGGGAAAGTGTGAGCAGAGCTTGTTTATGGTCCAGAAGAAGGCCAGTCCCGCCCAACTGTGCTTCCCAAACTCCAAGGAGCCGATGAGAAAACTCTAGGGTGGTCATGGGTAGGGCCCGAGTGGGAACAGTGTCTGTGGCACCCAGGCAGCCCTTCACTGACTGTTAAAGAAGTTGCCTTTTCTAAACAAGATTTACTCCAGCAGGTCCCACTTGTGCCGTTCCCTGTTTAACTTCTCTACCTTTCAAAGTACAATACGCGAGTTACTTCGGTTTCAGCAGGAGCCGGTAGCCTATGGGAGAGTCAGGGCTAGAGGGTGATCCCGAGGACTTACAAAAGAGCCTTTACTCTAAATAAAAATAATAATGTTTGTAAATAAAAGTAATAAAGCTGCCATGGGTTGAACTGCTGGGTGGCTTCGATGCAGCTGGGTGTTTTAGAGCGTCCCATTTGTCTGTGAGCCTCAGGACAACCCTTTTTACGAGGTGGGTAAGTGAGCTGTGGGGTCTCAGGCTCCCCAGCAAAGGAGTGGAGTTAGGGTGCACTTCTGGAGTGTCCGGCTTCCAGTAAAAGTTATTCAAGTTTTGGCACTCAGAGTTGGCCTTCATGGAATCAATAAAAAAAATCATTGCATAATACACTGAGTTTCTTAGTGCCTTCATAGATAAGGATGTAAATATTTAACTATTACTTGAGGTTTCTCTTATTTTTTAAATTAATGAGCAAGGCAAATGGCTGCAAACTCCCGACTTAAATTTTTGTGGGGCGCCTGGGTGGCTTAGTCGATTAAGCATCTGCCTTCGGCTTAGGTCATGATCAAAGAGTTCCAGGACGGGGCTCCCTGCTCAGGTGGGGAAGTCTGCTTCTCCCTCTCCCACTGACCCTCCCCCTTCTGGTGCTCTCTCTTTCTCTCTAGGTAAATAAAATCTTTTTTTTTTTTTTTTGATAAATAAAATCTTTTGAAAAATGTTTATAAAAATCTTTGCTTTAACTTTTGTGCTCAGTTGAAATTCTTTCTTTTTCTTTTTCTTTTTTAAGATGTAAGTATGTATTTATTTATTTCAGAGAGCAGGGAGGGGCATAGGGAGAGAGGGAGAGATCTCAAGCAGACTCCCTGCTGAACAGAGAGTCTGACAGGGGGTTGGATCTCAGGACCCCGAGATTACCACCCTGAGATCATGACCAGAACCGAAATCAAGTGTAAGACACTTGATCAACTAAGCTACCCAGGTGCCCCTGAAATTCCTTCTGATGGTCTCAAGCAAGGAATTTGTTGGGTAGAATACCTGATTCCTTTGCTCTTCCATTACTTCTTTCTTATAACACTGGGTGGTACCACCCTTTACCTTGGAGTCTTGGATTTCTCTTTAAAAGTATTAGATTAGGGCACCTGGGTGGCTCAGTGGGTTAAAGCCTCTGCCTTCGGCTCGGGTCATGATCCCAGGGTCCTGGGATTTTCAGCGGGGAGCCTGCTTCCTCCTCTCTCTGCCTGCTTCTCTGCCTACTTGTGATCTCTGTCTGTCAAATGAATAAATAAAAAATTTTAAAAAAGTATTAGATTAGGTTTCTAAAGCTCCTCAGCTCTAAAATCTACCATGTACTTACATCTCTAATGTACATGTCCAAAATAACCATATTTATTAAGTTTCCATATTGAGAATTAGCTGACTTTTCAGCTCCAGGAGCTGAGTCTCTCTTTAAACACTTGCTATCGAGCTGATGGAAACAGGCTTTACCTCTGGATGGATGAGTTGAACTGGCCTGGTTGACCTCCATCATCTTTCTGGTATTTCCCATTCTCTCTCTACTTAGCCTTCTAGGCACACAGGTGTCCTCCAACTGTTGTGACCAGTGCCCAAGGCCCTCTCAGAGTCTCCCATTCTGGACCCAGTTGTGTCTCCATGAGATATGGAGATCTCATGACCCATGCTAAGGACTGGTCCACCTCTTTCTCTCCAGCACTCAAGTTTATAAACTTACCACACCCAGTGATATTCCTTCAGCACTTTGATAAGTGACAAGGTGTTAATGGACAATAATGGTTCCAAGTGATCTCTTTTCTTCAACCCCAGCTTCTAGGGCTTAAATCTAGTAACAGCTTACCAGCGTTAAGAGTAGGGAGGTCTGGGGCGCCTGGGTGGCTCAGTGGGTTAATTAAGCCTCTGCCTTCAGCTCAGGTCAGTATCTCAGGGTCTTGGGATTGAGCCCCGCATCAGGTTCTCTGCTCAGCAGGGATCCTGCTTCCCCCCCTCTTTCTCTCTGTCTGCCTCTCTACCTGCTTGTGATCTCTGTCTGTCAAATAAATAAAACCTTAAAAAAAAAAAAAGAGTGGGGAGGGCTTTGGGCAGCCTGGGCTTTTAGAATCCCAGGATTATACTCCCACAACGGCCACTGGCTCTGCCCCCAGGAATGCAGTGTAGAACAATCATTCCTACTAAGCACCACAAAGATGCGTTCTGGGAGGTTGTAAAGATCCTGCAAAACAGGCTCAACCTTCAGGAACTTCGGAGTCTCGGTGGGACGATAAGATATAGAGCTAGAGGTATATGGTGGTGAAACAAGGACAGCAGGTGGGTGGCCCTGTGGCCTTCGTCACCAGGGAATGTGTCATGTGAAGGACAGGAGCTGCAGCTAGGATTCTTTTCTTTTTTTAGTATGTATTTATTTATGTTAGAGAGCGAGTGTGTGCATGCAAGCAGGGGCAGGGGCAGAGGGAGAGAGAGAGAATCTCAAGCAGACTCCCCACTGAGTGTGCAGCCATATGCAGGTCTTGATCCCACAACCCCAAGGTCATGTCCTGAGTGGAAACCAAGAGTCAGATGCCCAACTGCCTGGGCCACCCTGGTGCCCCAAGAAGCTAGATGTCTTTTTTTTTTTTTTTTAAGATCTTATTTATTTGAGAGAGAGAGAGTGAGAGAGAGCATGAGAGGGGAGAAGGTCAGAGGGAGAAGCAGACTCCCCACGGAGCTGGAAGCCCGATGCAGGACTCGATCCTGGGACTCTGGGAGCATGACCTGAGCTGAAGACAGTCACATAATCAACTGAGCTACCCAGGCGCCCTGCAGCTAGGTTTCTTAAGTGGAGTTCAGCTGCTGGGGAGGGAAAGTAAGTACTTCTGGCGGGTGTACTGATCAGATTCTATCAGAATCAGTACTTCAACTGCAAAATTTCTGCATCTCTGCCTATTGTCCCCAGTTCAGAATTAAGTTCAGGACTTCTCCCCGCTATTCCTCTGCAGTTCCCCTTACTACTTTGCTTACCTCCCTCCTGCCAGATCCCTTCTGGTCTTAAAGAAGTTTACTCTCCTCCAGATGCAAAGGTCTGCCCTGGCTCAGGGCAGTAGCAGCAGAAGAGACAAGTCATGTACGTTGTCGAGGTTTTTTGTGTGAAGATATCTTTTTAGGGTGAATGGAACCTGGGGAAAGGAAAATTTCTCCTGCTGGGTAAAAATCACCAAATACTTATTTCCTGAGTCTCTTCATGAGGCTTTCTCTTTGGCTGTCAGCTTGGATTTTTCCTTTTTAATCAACCCAAGGTCAAGGTCAAGTATATGTAAGCTGTACTAATAACAAGTCATAACAAGTTGGACAATGAAGGGAGCAGTGAAGAGTCAGGGGCCTGTAGAATCCATAAATCGTTTTTCTGGTCACTGAATGATTGAGAGTTGCCTATATGAGAAAATAAAGATGTTTTCCTTTTTTTGTATAATTTTAGCTTTTCTAGATGGTCAAGGTTATTAGTTTCAGTTCACTCCTGTTGAGAGTGCACTTCCTGAACTTCTCTTTTCTCACTAAAGTGACCCATGTGCTCTTGCCTGATTCGAAATTCAATGCAGATCCAAAAATGTAGGCACACAAAGGACTTTGTTGAGTGAACTAATGAAGTTAATTTAGGTGTTGGGTATCTGCTGTAAGATCAGTCTTTTTTTTAAAATAAAGATTTTATTTATTTATTTGAGAGAGAGAGAGAGAGAGATAGAGAGCATGAGTAGGGGAGAGAGGCAGAGGGAGAGGGAGAAGCAGGCTCTCAGCTGAGCAGGGAGACCCACATGGGGCTCGATCCCAGGACCCCAGCATCATGGCATGAGCCAAAGGCATGCACCTAACACTACTGAGTCACTGAGGTGTCCCTGCTGATTCAGTCTTTATATCTCCCAGATTTATGGCTCCTGAATAGTTAATTACTTGAATCTGTGAATAGCTGTAGAAGCTCAAAAATCTTTGGAAAGTATGTTCTATTTAAATATTTCTAGATTGTACAAGTAAAAATCTTACAAATAGAACAGCTCTTTCTTAGTTGAAAACAAGCCGCTTTCCAGTCCAGGGCTCCAAGGTCACATTATGCTGCAAAATTACCTGGTAGTAGAGAAACCATAAAATATTATCATGTTCTTTGTACCTATTGCATTTTTCTGATAAGAGAGAAGAGATAAAACCCAGACATTCTCAGGAGTTTCTTACATATGGAAACTTTTTTGTTAAGGAGCATCTTGTCTGTGAGACCAAAGGCAATGCAACATACTTTGATGTTACGCTCAGATCTTGGGTGTCATGTGCCCCTTCCTGAACTCAGAAACACCTGCCCCTACTTGCCAAGGCCTAGGAGAGGATTCCTGGGCTCTGTAAGAGATCCAAAAGCGGGTTTGGCATGGTATACCTGCCTAGGTTTGTAGAACAGGAGCTTAGAGAAACAATTCCTCTCTGACCTGCTGGGTAGAATGACCTAACTTCTAAGAAATCACACTGTGTTCAGGGTTGTGGAGAGACATCAAAGAAGTAAAAGGCAAAGTCCTGCTCTCACCTGCTCTCAGGGAGCTCCAGAGAGCGTGTGTCCGTAACAGCTGGAGTAAGTGGCCTTGTTCTGGGGTGGGGGAGCCAAGGAGGACTGAATCCCTTTTGGTTTCTTGCTCTGGACATCTGCAGTCATGGGCTCTGCTGTTTACAGCTCTGCCTCTGGGGCCCACTCAATTTTCGACCCTTGACCTTGCAGCTTTGACTTTACTGTCTACTCAGCTAAGACTAATCTTATTTGCTTATGTGTGTTGAATGTCTTGCATTTGTCTCTCTATCCCACCTACTCTCCAGCCTTTCCGACCGATTCTGTGTTCCTGGAGAGTAAGCTGCAGAGACTTCCTTAAAGGGACTCCCTAGGTCTCTGGCTTCCTAATGTGTTCAGCCTATGGACCACTCTGGTAGGAGGTGGGAGGTCGGGATGCTTATCACCTCGGCACTGGCCCAGTGGGGTCACTGATGACCACAGCTCAGGAAGGTAGCCTCTCCTTTCTTCCTCTCTTTGGGTTTTGGGAACCAGTCTAGGGTTGACAGTGGTGCACTGACTCCAGGTAACTTCTCCATCCTTATGGTTCACCAGTCAATGTTTAAATAATTCCTTTAATAAATATACCTCAGATTTTCAATTTGGAGCGTGCCATTTGTTTCCCCCTGGGATCTTGACTGGTCACAATGCTTTCTTTTCGTCTCTTTCTCTCTTAGATTCATTTATTTATTTTAGACGGAGAGAGCGCTCCGGGAGGGGGGGAGGAGGGGCAGAGGGAGACTATTTCAAGCGGACTCCCTGCTGAGCGCCCAGTCTCTATCTCACCACCCAGAGATCATGACCTCAGCCGAAATCAAGAGTCGGTGCCTTACCCGACTGCACCACCCAGGCGTCCCTGACCACGATGGTCTAAGGAATCGTGGTGCAGTCCTTTTTCCCAGCATCTGTCTTGGACTGTGCACTGAGAAGGGAAGTGGCACACGGGGCTGGGCTGCCTCTCACCAGTGGGGTAACCCTGGGCAAGTGGCCTTCCCTCTCTGTCTGGTTTCCATTATGTAACAAAAACGGTGGAGGCAAAATGACGTCCAGGTCCCTTCCTATTCTCATACGAGATTGTCCTGGACTGTCCATTTTGAGTTCTGCGTTTTAATTATGGCTTGTGGAGGGCGCCACAGACAAATTACACGGGGTGTGTCGCGGTCACTTAAGGGTCTACCCGCAACCACGAGGAGGCCGGCAGTGCTTTCCAGCTGCCGTGATGACTTCTAGGAGTGGGTACAGAAGGGTAGCAAGGTTCGAGGGGTCCCGCAGCTGTGTTTGGGATGTATCTGGGTGGGCGTCCCACAGAAGGCCCTGCGTGGCAAGGGACTGGGAGCACCGCCGGGAGTGCAGGGCTGGAGGTCGAGCCGGTCATCCAGACCCTCGCGGCCGGGACCCTGGAAACATCACGAGCCCGAGGCCCAACAGACATTCCATCCTTTCGGGCCTCGTCTTGCCCCCAGCGAGCGGCCGGCCGAAAGGAACCGACCTGGCCAGCGCTGGAGCGCAGGGACCCGGCGGCCGCCCACAGCAGCCCCGCCCAGGAGATGCGAGAGAGGCTGGAAGCCGCGGTGGGAGGTTAAGTCCGCGCGGAGCCGCAGCGGGGCGGGCCCACGGCGATTGGTGCCCAGGCCTCGGCCGCCAGCCAATGGATGGCGAGGGCGCCCCGGGGGCGGGGCGGAAGCCGAGTCTTAGGCTCTGTGACGCGCCGCCGTCGCGCTGCTGTGCTGTGCGCGACGCGTGTGCCGGCGGGTGTCGGAGGCCCAGCCAGGTATCCGCGCTAGCGGAGGGGCCGCGGCTGGAGCCGGGACCGGGGTGTCCTGGCCGGGGGCCGGCGGGGCGGCCGACGCGGACGGCTGCAGTCCCGGGTCGGGGGTCCGGGGGTGGGGGAACGGGCTGAAGGGGCGCGCTGGGCCTCGACCGGGGGGCAGGCTCCGCCTCTGCGGCCGTTTTACGTGGCGGGCGGCGGGCACCGCCGGGCCAGAGGCAGCGGGCGGGCGCGCAGCTTCGGCCGGCGGGGACGCGGCGCATCCCGGCCGGGAGTGGCGGGCGGGCGAAGGAGGCAGGAGGCTGAGAGAGGCTGAGGATGTGGCACCTCCGCCTGCCAGGGCAGGCGGAGCCGGGCCGGCCCTCGGCCCTCCTGGCCCGCAACCCCCCAGCGCCTTGGCTGCGCGCCTTCGGGTTTGGGAGAAGGTGTTGGGCGCCGGCGCGTGGGGAGGAGGCTCCGGGCACCGCGGGCACCGCGGGGACCCTGGGTTCCCGAGGTCTACCAGAAGGCTGCATTCTGGATGTGGGGAAACTGCTCAGTTAATGGGTGGCTTTCGTAATGGGGCGGAGGGCCCGGGTCGAGAGAGACCCTTGAAAAGGGTTCGAATCCTTCCGGGTAGCGCCTGGGCCCTGCTCCCAACCTGCTTATCTCTCCCCCGCCCCCAACATCTTTTTTCCCTCCAGTCTGTCCAAATAAAAAATTACAGAAGTAGAGCCTTATCTATAGTAACGTGCAGACTAATTGGATGGTGTCAAGGGATTGGGGCCAACAGGGTTTCAGCATGAAGACTTCATCCTTAGGGGTCTTTGCGAGCATCAGTAAGTTCTGGTTGAAATCAGTGGGGCACTTGTTCTCAGGAACCTGTGGTCTCCACCTTTTGTAACTCTTACTTCTTGGTTTCTGTTTTACCTCTTAGGTAAATAAAGGGAGGTGATAAATTCAGGGAGGAAAGCAGGCGTGAGTTTGAAATGAATTGGGTTTAATAAATTACTAATCTGTAATTTTCGCAATTCTAAATCTCTTCTTTGGGTTTGTAAGTTTCTGTAGGTAAACTGGTTCTCTCAGTTGGAACCTGGAAGTGTTATTTATGTAAACCAATTTCTTTATCTTACCTATTTGAAATAAACAATAGACTTCTTTCATTAGAATATCTTGGTTTCAACTTCAGAGAATCTAGTTCCGGATTATGAAAAAGATGCAAGTTTGAAAGTAGAGTTCCTCTTTTTTAAAGATTTTATTTATTTGAGAGAGAGAGAGGAGAGATAGAGACTACCAGGGGCCGGGGTGGGGGTGGTTGTGGTGGTGGAAGGGAGAAGCAGGCTCCCTGCTGAGCAAGGAGTCAGGGGCCAGGCCTCCTGGGATCATGGGCCTGAGCCCAATGCAGATCCTTAACGACTGAGCCACCCAGGCGCCCCTTGTTTTTTTTTTAAATGAAGCATTTTAAAAATGTAAATTCCAGTAGTTAAAATAGTGTTATATTAATTCCAGGTGTACAATGTGGTGATTCAACAGTTGCATATATTAACACTCAAGAGAAAAATCTTTTTTTAAAAGAAGATTTTATTTATTTGAGGAAGTTGTGGGGGGAGAGGGTCAGAGTGAGAAGCAGACTCCCTGCTGAGCAGAGAGCCTGATGCTGGGCTCCATCCAGGGACCTTGGGATCATGACCTGAGCTGAAGGCAGATGGCCAAACGAGTGAGCCTACCAAATGCCCGATAAATGTACTTTAAAAAAAAAAAAAAAGATTTTATTTATGGCAGAGGGAGAGAGAGGGAACATGCACATGAGCACTGGGGGCTGGGGTGAGGGGGAGGGGGGAGGGGGAGGTGAGACTTTGTGGAGCAGGGAGCCCAAGGTGGGATGAGGTGAGGTTCTATCCTAGGACCCTGAGATCATGACCCCACTGAAGGCAGCTACTTAACCAACTGGGCCACCAGGTACCCCTGAATCTCATATATTTTAAAATAGAGAAATTGGGGCATCTGCATGGTTCAGTCAGTTAGGCAGGTCTTGACCTGTAGGTGGTTGAGTTCAAGCCCCCGTTGAGCTCTGTGCTGGGCGTGGAGCCCACTTAAAAAAAAAAAAAAGTAAAATAGGAATGGACCAAATTTTGGAGGTGTGTGGAGGGTGTTTTCTGGCAGAGCCAGTCCTTTTTCAATAGTAATGGTTAAGATGTTTGTGCCAATGACGCACTTGAGTTGAATTTTAGCCAGATTACGTACAAAAAAAACCCAAACCAACAAATTTTTCTTGGCAGAACTTAAAAAAAAAAAACAACTGTATTTGTGAATGGTTACCTCAAGAAAAGTAAATATTTGACCAATATAGGAAAGCCAAATTACAAGTGGAATATTTTAAGTGGCTTTAAAAAAAACTTTTTTTAAAAGGGCGCCTGGGTGGCTCAGTTGGTTAAGCAACTGCCTTCAGCTCAGGTCATGATCCTGGAGTCCCAGGATCAAGTCCCACATCAGGCCCTCTGCTCATCGGGGAGCCGGCTTCTCCCTCTGCCCCTCGCCCCTTTCATGCTCTCTCTCTCTCTCAAATAAATAAAATCTTAAAAAAAAAAAGATTTTATTTATTTGACAGAGAGAGAGAGAGATCACAAGGAGGCAGAGAAGTAGGAAGAGGGAGAGGGAAGCAGGCTCCCTGAGGAGCAGAGAGCCCGATGTAAGCTTGATCCCAGGACTCTGGGATCATGACCTGAGCCAAAGCCAGAGGCTTAACCCACTGAGCCACCCAGGTGCCCCTTTAAGTGGCTTGATGAGTTTTGCTGAACAACTTCTGGTTTTTCTTTTAGAGTTATTTAAAAAAACTAGTATTTCGTAGTACATGCTAAATTAGATGAATTTTCAAAATGCAGCCTTTTATGGAAATTCTGTTTTAGGTATGTTTTCATGGAGACAGGATGGACTAGATAGATGGGAGTAATATAGCTTGAAGAAGGGCTTTGTGAATTATGTAGGTTACTGAAAACAATGCCAAAATTTTCCGTCAGTAGCAGTTTGCCACCCTCCCCTGCACGGACAGCCCCCCCCCCCCCCCCCCCCCCCCCCCCCCCGAGAATGGGCCTTGGTTAACCGCATGACCACAACCTGGACTGGTCAGGCTTACACATACTATTTTGACTCTTGAAGGCCATTAAATTTAATGAAATGAACTTTTTAAAAATGAGTTTTTATTTAAATTCCAGTTAATTAATGTACAGTGTACTTAAAAAAATTTTTTTTAAAGATTTTATTTATTTGAGAGAGAGAGAGAGCGCAAGCAGGAGGAGCCGCAGAGGGAGAGGGAGAAGCAGGCTTCCTGTTGAGCAGGGAGCCCAAAGTGGGGCTTGATCCCAGGACCCTGAGATCATGACCTGAGCCAGAGGCAGATGCCCAACCAACTGAACTACCCAGGTGCCCCAGAAGGTTCTTTAATAGAAATATTTGTACAGATTCTGGTTACATCATCACATACCTACTGCAGGACTTTTCGCAGTTGAATATCCAGAGTTCATCTTTAAAAGCCTTAAGAATGGGGCACCTGGGTGGCTCAGTGGGTTAAAGCCTCTGCCTTCGGCTCAGGTCATGATCCCAGGATCCTGGGATAGATGGAGCCCCGCATCGGGCTCTCTGCTCAGCAGGGAGCCTGCTTCCCTCTCTTTCTCTCTGCCTGCTTCTCTGCCTACTTGTGATCTCTCTCCCTGTCAAATAAATAAATAAAATCTTAAAAAAAAAATAAAAGCCTTAAGAATGAGTATTGGTAATGTTTGAATGTTATTGTTTTGTCAGTAAGTTATTTTTTCAATAAGACTGAACTTCACAGATAAATGGATATTTTATCTCATTTCTATTGCAAATTAGCTAAGCAAATAACTTCTTGTATAAGATGAAGACTATTGGGGCGCCTGGGTGGCTCTGATTTCGGCTCAGGTCATGATCCCAGTGTCCTGAGATTGAGCCCCTCATTGGGCTCTCTGCTCAGAAGGGAGCCTGCTTCCTCCTCTCTCTGACTGCCTCTCTGCCTACTTGTGATCTCTGTCAAATAAATAAAATCTTAAAAAAAAGAGATGAAGACTGTCGAATTTAGATAATTTCAAAAATTCCTTTCACTTGCAATACTGTATCGACCTGTTAATCAACTTAAAACATGCTAGTTAGGGGCGCCTGGGTGGCTCAGTGGGTTGGTCTCTGTCTTCGGCTCATGTCATGATCTCAGGGTCCTGGGATCCAGCCCCACATCGGGCCATCTGCTCAGCAGGGAGCCTGCTTCCCCCCTGCCTACTTGTGATTTCTCTCTCTGTCAAATAAATACATAAGATCTTAAACAAAAAACAAAAAACAAAAAACCATGCTAGTTAGGGGGTACCTGGCTGGCTCAGTTGGTAGAGCATGTGATGCTTGATTTTGGGGTTTGAGTTTAAGCCCCACATTTGGAGTTGAGCTCAAAAAATGCTAATTAAGAGGGTATTTAGTTGTTTTGCTTTTTTTTTTTTAGTTTTTTTTTTTTTTTTAATACGTCAGTTCATTTCATAGTGCGTCTCTGCATGCTTCTAGTCACAGAGCTACAGACCTTAATAGCAAAATCATTACGGAGAGGAGTTTTTATTTTAGAATTGGACCCCGT